GCCTTCTTTTGTAAAACCGCTGTTTATTTGCTTACTTCCCTATAAAGTGTAAACAAACAATTCATCAACCACATCAATATATAGTCAATGCTGGGATCAGTGATTTAAAGAATGTTCAGTTCTAAAGTAATTCCTTTTTAAAGAGCGAAGTTAAATCAGAAGCAGTAGCGTATAAATAAAACTTTAGCACAGACTACACTGAACTATAAACATAATTCTGAATTTTAACTGAGAAAACAACTTTCTTAAATGAGGTTTAATAATGGGCTATTTATATCCTTTTGTTCATAAGAAAACTTAAACATACTATTCAAGTATATTTAAAAGACTATACTATTAACTAAACCCCACATCAATCATAAGAAAATAAAAGTGCACTCTGAATGCAGCAAAGGACTCTTTTGAACCTCTCCCTCCGTAAGTAAAACATGTTGGGTTTCAACAGTCATTCTCAAAAATCTCCTTTTAGGTACTAATCAAGAGGAAAGTCAAGAAGCTGCTTTGAATGACCATCTCCAGCCCCCCTGAAATGCCTTGTGAAAAAGACATCGACATGCCATTCCACGCTCCTAAGAGCCTGGCTCGAGTCTCCTGGGCTAATTTTTTAAAGGAGTGTCTCCTCGATGCTTTTAGGGGCTTGAGGTTTTCTTTAGAAATTAACTACACATAACAGAATGCACCAATAAGAACCAAGATGCCCTGAGGAAGGGTAGCAGTTCCACTGGAGAGCCGTGGTCCTTGACAGAGACATAAAGAGCAACTCAGACCAGAGCAATTAAGCAAAGCCGAGGACAAACTAGGGTTAAGATTATAAACAGGTACCGAACACTCAGCTGCAATCCTAATGTCGTGCCGTATGAGGCAACATGAACGAGTAAGAGGGACATCAGGCCTCTTACAACACAGCCACACTGGTTTTCTAGCCTCTGTGCCATTTTTCTAAAGTTATTTTTCTAGGGTTTTAGATACACTGCGCAGTTCTTTCAGCATTCCAGGACTCACCATATGTGCCACTCCCACCAAGAGTCCCTTCTAAAACACTACATAGATGTGCAAGCAACAGCATCTCAAAAGGGAGTCATGAGTAAAGATGTCCACCTTCTGGGAGCCATGGCCATGACGCCTACAATCACGGCCTCAAAATGCGAAGTTATCTCTCCATAGATAGGGGAGAACAATCTCCTACTTAACCATGCCGATAAAAAGTAATGTTCAAATTAATATCCACTTTTTTACCACACAGCAAAACATTAAAATAAAATGTCAGGGTCCCGGGGAAAACACAGCATCTGCACATCTGCGAATTCACACTACTTTAAAGCTAACAAGCGTTGCTTTGTGGTTCAAGTACAAAGCTCTCCTAAGAGGACCTGGACCTCACCAAGTGCCACCAAGGACACCGCGCACGCTGCGAGCTCATGTACTTGCCACACTGTTCTGATAGGGAAGCAAGGCCCTTCTGCAACAAGTGGCAGTTAGTCCAGAACTATCTGAACCTGGATGACCACCCACTCACAAGCAGACCGTCACGCCTGTCAGGCCCCGTACTTAGAATGAAGGTAGAAATGGAAGTGGGACTCCAGAAACAGATGTGACACCAAGTGACTGGGGTAAAGCTGAAGTGCGGTTAATGCATTATCTCCCTTCATTACAAGCCCCTGAACTCCAACCACACTGCTCAGTTCCAGCTGTTTCTACATAGTTATAGACAATTGTACTAAGATTATTGGATTTTCAGGTGTTGGGGCCTCCCTGGGGGAGCAGTGATTAAAGACAGCGTTATCAAGCTATCGCCAGCCACTGCAGCACGAGTTTGCTCCCAGCCGGCCAGGGAGCAACCCACATGGCGCAGACCCCTCCTGCCATGCCCGCTGCTCCCCTCAGCAGTGTATTTCAGTGGATCTGCCTGTTCTGCTCCCCACTCTCTTTGGTGAATCCTCTCGCTGCCCCCCCTACACACACCTCTGGTTTACACCCCAGTTCTTGTATGCATCAATAAAATCTTAAAAAAAAAAGTTACTGTAACATTTTTTTCACTAATACTGAGTGTTTATATTGAAGATCAAAAGCTTCCAGAATGAAAATTCTATGCCACACACGAAGCGACGGTTGTAGTAATGATAGCAAATATTTTATACAGGTCTTGTACAGCCACATACTTTACGGCTATAAATATTCATTTAGATTTTCACAATTACCTTATGAGGAGATACTATTATTCTCATTTCACAGGTGATACTGAGGTCACCTGCCTTGTAAGTGGCAGATCCAAGTCAGGCTTTGAATCTAGGAAATCTGACTCAAGAGCCTATACTTTCAACCGTGTGCCTGAAAAGTGAAAGACAGTGATTCTTTGCTCAATAAAAGCTGGTACTGAGCACTACTGGCACAAAAATGTCAGTGAATGCTCCCACTCCCCCACATCATAGCCAAGTTCTAGGTCAGAAGTAGTCATTTCTGGGTCACAAAGTTATCTTAAATACTGTCTTTAAAAAAGTCGTTGCTAAAACTGGATAAGCACTTCTAGGTGAAAAGAGGCAAAGTGATCACATTTTGGATCACATCTTAGTTATGGAATATTTATTTGGTTTTTCTTCTAAATACTAACACTAGTGTAGAAAAATTGTAAGGGGTTTTAAATTATAATTGCTGGCTAAGACCAACTGCTAACATAATAGAAGTTTAACTGTGACATGATACAAAGAAAACTCCATATTTAAATAATGGCTGTTTTCAACTTTTTAATGTTGAAAATTCTTGCATTTTCCTTACAAAAATATCAGGCATTTCAATTCATGTTTAAAACAAGTTTTAAGACCAACTATTTCAAACTGGCCTGCTTTCACCATCAAAATGTTTTAAAACTGGTTTACAAACAAAAGGCGGCCCATGCTTAATTATGCAATATCCATACAGCCACCTAATAAGTTACTCAGTTGAGAAATGAAAAATCCTAATAACTTGAGTCCAGTGTCTCCTTTTCCTTTACACATCCCCCAACCAATCCCTATTTTGTGCCAGAATAACATGTCTCTAAAAACTCAAGCACAACAATTAGTTTTTTCAGGTTAGATCATTAAAATTTGATTCAATTCATCCCAAGCTGGATTTAAAGGCATGATATAAAAATGAACTCCAAAATATTAATGCTGTATTTTCTACCAAAGTGTGCAACAGGTGACCTTGGAATTTTAAGTTACCTACCTGGCAAGAAATTTATTTTATTTAGTAAATTATTTCAGTAATTTTCACACTCATGAAATTGTTCAAAACAAAAACCAATAATATTTAATAGGGAAATGTAGTTACACTAATACATTAAAATTTTTACGGAGGGCAGCAGTTCTGCAAAGGGAGTGCACTAGCTCTGTGGGCAACATGACTTCCTGTGAGGGCTGCGGCTGACTGATTAGGAGGGAGTCTAGGATCAGCTGCCAGGAGCAATTTCAATACCTGTGCTTGACCAAGAAAAACACTCCTGAGACTCAATTTCCAGACACCTCCAAAAAATACCACCCCAAATTTAAAAGACTCCCATAGTGGTGGTGGGTAAAGGAACTTAACGTGAAGGAATGCGCATGAACGTAAGCCACAGAACTCCTCATCTAAAAATGGCTGAAATGGTAAATTTTGTTAGTTAACAAAAAGAATTTACATCCCAAAACAAAACAAATTACAGTGCTCTAGAAAACAACTTCCACAGAGTCACCAAAAATATGTAAGGGGGAAAAACCTTGAGTCTCTAAATGTCTCTTACTTGAAGAAAGATGAAACGGGAGCTACTTCGCTTCTGATGTTATTATCAACTGTCCACGGTAGATTCCAAGGCAGCTTGGATGATAAAACTTATAAATCCTCTGTCACTGTGACTTAGAGCTTCCTATTTCCTTACTCAGAATAGAACCACAGAGTCTAATTGCTAAGGATTTAATTTTTTAATTCTCTTCACTGTGTTGAAGGAAGAAGTATACACAGGCTACAATACAGAATCTGAAGAACAGCTTCAGTTAGAACCAATAAAAGTACTTAATGCACCTTAACTGGCATATTTTCTCCTGGTAATTGAAATGGCACCAGCCTCTTGTTCTAATTTTCAATTCTCTGTATCAGGCATTTCAATAGGAGATTGTTTGAACCCACACCAAATTAAGTAATCCTAAAGCAAACACTCAATTTGTCCCACCTTAGAAATAAGATCTTCATTCTCTGGCAAATTCCTAATCAGAGGCCATAACTGAACCCAAAGCAAAACATCTTGAATCACATTACCAACCTTTCTAGACATTTGCCAGCCTCAGTTCTGCTCAGTACTAACAAAAATCAACCATGCAGCACAAACCAGATAAATTCACAGCCTAAAAGGGAAAAACCTAACTTTAGATACCAATTATAAATTGCTGAAGGTATTTCCAATTCCCAATTCCATTATTCTATAAAGAAACTTAATTTTGAGCTTGTGTTCAACACAACCAAAACTTAAGCACAACCTGCTCAAAGAGGGAACTTAGTTTTTTTTGTACATTAGAAACTAGACCCACTAATGAAAACATTCATGTAGTTCATTCTAACAAGTTTCATATTCTTGGCCTACCGTCTGTCTCCCTATCTGTATTCCTGCTAATGTCCTTAGTACTGCTCTAAAGTAACACTTAAGAGATCTTTCCCATCAAAACTACCAAGAGGGACCCACCATCAGGTCATGTTAAACAGGTAGCAGACCAGTTCCTCACTGATCCTGTAGGTCTCTGGTTGCATATCTAGAAATGAGAGTTGAATAGATGTTCCTTCCAAGGGAAAAGTCAGCTTTCTGGTCTGTGATTTCTAGAACACTAACAAAGCAATCATACTATCAAGCTTTAAATTTCTGAGAACTTCTATAGAGACATCTTTTCAGTTTTTACAATTCTTACTTTACTTGGCTTCTCCCTTGTTAATCTGCTGTAGCCACTTCCCTTAGGTGACTGGAGATTTGGTTTAAGTCTAGTTTTCTCTCTGCAGGGAGAAAAATAGCCACTTTATTATCTCCAATGAAAGAGCAACTTTATTACTATTATACTGAAAATAGAAAAATAGCTACAATTATCCAATTCCTCTATCTAGCTTCTTAAGAACTATCTATTTGAAAAAAACGTGTAATAGCAGCTACCAGGTTTAGAACATACATTTTTAAGGCTACAGAAATCCTTTAAACTTTGCCTCCTATTGAAACATCAGATGAAATATTGGAGACTGACAAGACTGAGGGAAAAGTGGCTTGAAAATAAGGTCACAGCTTTTGTGATCACACTTCCACCTTTTCCTCAAAGGAAAATTTTTGTGCTGAACAATCATGATTTCATTGTTTTTCTTTCCCCCCAACTCTTCTGAAATCAATCAAATGATTTATGCCATAAGAGCACCTTTGCCAAGCATTTGATATTAGCAATTGCCAATCACAACCACCTATGTTAAGGTAAAACTCACCTGTATCAATACATGATGCTTTGGAATTACTTATTCTAGATGACTGCTCTGCCTTGTTTAAATCTTCCTCAACTTTCAAAGGTATCTACATGAACAAATTCATTAACTAAAACAAATACTTGGAAAATGGAAAATCTTTTAGGATACTTCCTTAAAATGCCTGAAACACTGAACTCCAACCTGTAATCAAAGAACTTTTAAAATAGAGTGGTTTCTGTTTGCAGGAAAGAATTACGTTCTAGTCAAGAGAAACTTTTTTCCCAAATGTGTGTTTATTATAATCAAAAAGCATTGAGTTCCCCAGGAGAAATCCTACTTGCTTTTGCAGAAATTGGCACATAAATTATGGAAGTTCATGACCTTAATGAAGCTAACAGAATACTATTTATTTTCAATTTCCATTAGTCTTTTAATTCATAGTAACTAAAACATTTCAAGCTGTACTACTCAGAAAAAGTTGCTCTAAAGTTTTGTTTCCAAAAGTGTCAAACTGACATTACATCGTATTTGACAGGTTACAAAGAGTACAAAAGCAACTTTAAAAATCTTGGAATAAAGTTGCCTCCATAGGTAATCAGATACATTTCTCACCAACAATAACAAAGCTAAAAATAGAAAATAAGTAATTATCCCAGGGGCAGATGAACCAAGTAGAAAAATAGTGAGCTAAGTTTCTAGCCCCAGAAGCAACGATATCTAAGGCAGAGGACCAAATCCATGACACTGGTTACCCAAATGTTAATGAAGAACATGATGAAATAAAGGCTAAAAATGAAAAAATTTTATGACCCACACGTTTATGAGAAATTGGCGGGAGGAAGAAATCAAATCTAGAAGCACATCAGACCTCTGAACTACGAACCCTCATTTTAACACACTGATTATCACTTGTTATTTCAATTTTATAATTTTGCCTCTGCTCATATAATATATTCCCTAGTAGGGCAAATAGGAAAACGAAGGTGTGATGGTTCGCCTCCGCTACACATTATTACAAAGAATTCTCTACCATCTTGAAATTTTTCAAAGCTTTTTGAGAAACACACACAAATAATTTGGATTTAGTTGATTTTATTTACAGTTTTTGTTTTTTTACATTTCAGAGCATTACACAATTACATATTCTCATTTTCTGACCTGCAAACAGATACCTTAAATGGAAATTTTTTTTTTAATTATCAAATTAGGTACATCCAAAATGCAACAATTACACATATGACAATTCACAAAGTGTAATTTACTAGGACGTATCCTAAGAATTTAGGAACAGTCAGTCAGGAGAAATCTGACCAAGTTTAGCAATCACCTATTTACATATCCCAAAACAAAACTAACTAAACTCCCAAACCAGAAGTTTGAAAGTTTCCTTAAGTCCCCACTGGATGAAAGAGTAATGACGGGAACCTTGCCACCTTGGACAGTCTGACTCCCAAACTCTGGCCTATTTCCCCAGCCTACAGCTGAGGAGCAAGCATTTCAGTTTGTCAAACACCTAATAATCAGCCTCTTGAGCCATTATGCACATAGAAAAGCTAAGTGTTCATTAATTAAAACAGTCCTTAAATATCCACGATTCCCCCAGCTCACCAGCCCTTACTGCAATCTCAAATATGCAACCTATGTCACATAGTGACGGGCTATATTAAATATGTAAGGTGTGTGTGTGTGTGTGTGTGTGTACAAATATATACACACATACGTGTGTGTTACATGTGCATGCACATACACACATCCACACAGTACTAGGTACAAATGGCAATTAACAGTCCCTGCAAAAATTCATTTTCAATTGAGGCTATGGCTCCTATGCCTTGGGATGATTTTAGATTTCAAAACTGAAAAATACTGCTAAAAATCTCATTTCCTTAAGACAAAATTTGATTGTTTTTTCAATTTAAACCTCTCAGTTAAAAATGGCTCTAAGGTCAGTGTATAAAAAGCAGCCAACTGAGTGCAAGTCCCGCTCCAGTATGGCCAAGCTGCTTTGCAGCAGTGACTCCTAACTAGACTAGAAAACCTGCGGCGCCTTTCCATGGTTCTTGCCTACCTTACTGTCCACGTTCACGTCTCAAACTGTGTCAACAGAGCCCGCACTTCAGGGGTCAGCTGCTGGGCAGCCTTAGCTGCCTCTGTGATAGCCTTGCGATACAGGCCCTTTCTCTTCTTATTAAAGCGTGACTGGAAGTTTTCTAAAAAGGGGGAGAGCTGCGAAAGAGCAAGGAAAGAGGTGGTTGGGGAGCCGAACCATGAAATACGGGCCTCCTGGCGGAGTAAAAGGCCGTTATCTTTCCGGCTCACAGTTATAGTAAGAATACGGGCTGGCCACCAAGGGAAGCCGTATATCTTGGCCCAAACAATGTCCCCGACACATATGGTCCTGCCATCTGGTGTGACACATTTAGAGACGTTTTTGGAAAAGACTTTCATTTTCAAGGAATTAGTGAGCTTTTGCTCTTCCTTTGAAGAGGCGGAAGTGGAAGGGGTGGAAGGTGCATGCATACTGCCAGGAGGAAAATCAAAGCTTTCAGAGGAACTACACTCAGAGCTGGAGGACTTCAAGCCATCCGTGCTGTCAATGCTACACACTGACGCACTGGAAGAGTCGGATTTCTTTTGATTAAGGGTCATGTAAACAGAGATATTGCTTTTGCTGCCCTTTTTGCCCAGTGTCTGTGGTTCATCCTGCTCATCAGGCACAAGCCCTTCATTGGTGTCCTGAACCTCACTGTTGGCCTCTTCCAGGCCTTCTGAGGGACTCTGATTTTCTGAAGGGGCCTCACCTGCTGAGCGGGTGGAAGAGCAGCGAGACTGGGGCTTGGGAGCCATCTTGCCACTCCGCATTTTCTCAAGTCCAGTCTTCAGAGAGGAGTCATTTTCTTCATTCCTGTACCGTTGTGGTTTTAAACGAACCCGGGGGGGAAGGGAACCTGAGCTCGGGTTCTGATAGCGACGTGTGAAATGGACTTTTGAATGTGCATTTTTGGATGTAGAGGTTTCACTTTGCTTCTTTTGTGCCTTTTCTTTGGCAATTTTCAACACTTCCCGAGCTTTCGCATGATCCATGTTCTTACTCTGAAGCACTTTCTTAGTACTTAACTGAGCTTTTGATGTATTTGCCTGAGCAGAAATTTTAACTACTCTACCTCTGCTGTGAGCAATATTTGAAACCTTAACCACAGCATTTCTTTTCTGGCTTTCATTTTGGTTTTTCCCGTCCACTTTATGGTCAGTTTTCAGTTTTTTGTTCACAGTAGTTACACTTTCATTTCTCCGTTTCTTATCTTCATATTTAGAAGAGTCACTTGCACCGCTACCTTTTCTAATTTCTTTTTTTTCAGCAACAACACTATTTTTGCATTTGTCACACAGAACTTGCCTGGGTCGGAGTTTTATAGCATTCATTATTGAAGTAGGTTCTTCCCTGTACATCTTTCGTTTGGGTCGCTTAATCTTCCGAGGTGGTGGTTGAGGTATTGATTGGTTATAGGTGTCCCTGATAAACAAAGGGGGAGGATAAGGTGCTCCTTCATGGAAGAGAGGTGGTGGTTTGGAGGTCCACAGGCTTTCAGCCAAGCTGGGCTCAGGAGGCGGGACAGGAGAAGGATCATTGGGAACAGCACCATTCACTTCATGCTTGACCTCTGTCCCTTCTTGGAATGTATGACTTTGGAGCTGCATGGCTTCAGGTTTATCCTTATATTCCCTTTTGGGAAATACTGTCACAGGGATCCCATGGGGCCCAAACCTTTGAAAGAAATAGGGGAGGGGAGGAAAGATGACATTATTTTCTGTGATTCAACCTCTTAAAATACCAAAGCCCTTCATTTTTATTGGTACTACATTTTAGGTAAAATCAAATTATCAAATGGTTGCTCTAAGCAATGCCAGAATAGCTGGCCTTATTTAAAACAGACCTTTCCAGTTTTGAATTAGAAAGTTCAATTACTTTACTATTAAATGTCGTAACAGGTTGGCTGAACTATAGCCATGTCCAGTAAATGTTAACTGTAAATGTGTAACATATGTATCTTCCTGTTTACAGTAGCTTTCAAAAGCTTCACAAAACAAATTCAGCTTTTATTATCCCCCAAAATGGAAACAGCTAGAGCGTCAAAGACAGTTGGTTTCCTTTACTTTTGTATCCTATAACCCCCTAAGCCCTTATCTGCCCCCCAAACACAAGACTATAAATTCAGATACTCAAATTATCAACAGTAGACTTGTAACTTTTTTATAGCACACATTATTCACATTCCTATACAGTAAAACATTTGTGTGTGTGTACAAGCATGCATATACACATATATAAACACACTTTCACTAACTACTTAACCCTTATGTGATACGAAATTATTTTTTTCCCTACTGGTCTATTTCATTTGTCTCACGGCAGTCAGGCACATAAATGGATTTCAGAACTGCCTATGGGTCAAGATCCAGCTTATAAAGCACTGGTACAAAACACAAACCTTTGTAATTCTCAGTTTCTAAAATGAGAGGTCAACTGCCTTTGTCACATAAACTTAGAATTAACTTGCTAATCATTATAAACCTTTAAGTTAAGCTGGCTATGTTCATTCAGCTGCCTTCGCTTAAAAATGAAATCTCTCTACAAATAACTTCATCATGTATCGGTTAACATTCACTATTTGATTCAAAAAGTGTCCAGCACAATACAAAATTTGAATCCTTTCAGGCAGAGGTACTTTGAATCCAGGTAGAGTCCCTGACATTTGATGCAAAAAAATTGTTTTCTGGAGAATGAAAGTAGGTGATAAGATTCTCTAAAATGGGAAGAAATCTTGAAGTCAGGTTCTAGGGCTGCAGATACACCTAAATTCAAAGGTACAGGAAGAGCCAACACCCCCAGGAGATCTGGTTCTAACATCTAAACCTTAATCATTTTCTTCCTAAGCTCATTTTTTAGCTAGGCCAACATAAACCAACAAGTGATTGCAACTATTTACAAACCACCAAAGAAGAGGATGCCTAGGATGGGCCAAGACTGGGTCTAGGGCAGTCCCCAGGAAGGTGCCCTCCACACTGTCAGTCCATGCAGAATGTGGCTTTCTGTCCCAGCATAGCACCTGAGCGCCTCCTGACTGGTGACTCGGTGGCCCTCCCAGCATGGCATCTTTTCTTCCACTAGGTGTTCAATAGTCATTTTTCATCATGACAGGAATAAAGCAGTGCTTTTTGTGTTTACTACAGAGGTACATAAAACAGTAACTTATCTAACAAAAAATTTTCTAATTCATTTTGCCCCAACTGCACCTTTCACTGATGTTTCCATAGGTAAACTAAGAAGAAATCTTTTTTTTTAAGCATATAAGAAGTGGGGTGTAGGCCAGAGGTACAGGGGTGAGAGGATTCACCAGAAAGAGGAGGAGCAGAACAGGAGGATTTACTGAAATAATAGTGCTAATGGGAGCAGTGGGTGCGAAACTCAGGCCGTAGTGGTGATAGTGCTGAGACTTAACCCCTAGGTCACCAGGGAGGCCAACAAATCTTTTTAGGAAAAACTAAACCATAATCATCGTATTCTGAGATGAAGTTTCACTGCTATCTTACCAACTTTCTATCAGCAGATGTTACTACTACTCTGAAGTTCAGTTTTTATACATTTATGTAAAATGGGATAACAATTTCCTAAAGGATTCAGATGAGGATTAATAGCCCAACAAATGTTATCTTTCTTACCTAAAATTACATTTTTTAAATTTACTTCAATTAAGCAAGTTGACCTTATTTTCAACTAATAATTTACTAGAGTTTGGAATCCTTTCAATATCATTAATTTATAGTTCCAGCCTAAGGATGACCCAGCCAATTTGAAAACCTTATAGCAAATAAGTTGTGGAATCTGATTTCCTCTTAAAGTTTACTAAGAACATCGCTTTCAGATAGCAGTTGTTTCTTCTTCTTCCTTTACTTCTCTTCTTAAACACAAAATGCAAGCAGTATGTTAATACAAAGGCACTTAGCTATGCAATGTGAAGGGAAATTGCAAGCAGCAAAATGAAAACCAAAAAAGAGCAGCCAAACTGGAAACTGTTCATGATGGATGATCAATAAAAGCAGAAAAGTACTTTTACTAATAAAACTTCCTTAAAGGATCAGAAAGATGAATCCCTTTAAGAGAAAAAAAGAGCCAGTGTCCTACATCATCTCAACTATCACATCATGGCCTTAAAATTGATGACACTCAAGGGCAGTGTTTTCAAACTAAGGATGGAAACACAGCTTGAAATCAATTCAGAGGTTCACAACAATGACTAAAATAAAGAAACCATAAAGTATGTAACCACAATGTATCTGTTTCATCTGTGTAGAAGGATCCAAAGCTAACATACACTGGTAACTATGCTCAAAGCCAGGAACTTATGACACTGTGATCTTGATTAAAATATAAAGTAGCAATAAAACTATGGTCTCTTAAAAACCCTATCATCTAATTTCTCAAGCACCCTCTACTACACAATGCTGTGTTGTCAGAAAATTAGACACCCAAGCCCTGTCTCAAAATGCATCATCAGGCTCTCCTCATATGGAACCCAGGATCCGAGTTCCGAGCAAGCCACTTTTGCTTTAGTTTTTTCTAAGGTGAAGATACTTACATGCCATGTGAATGTTCACCAAAGGGAGACCTCAGCAGAGGAAGACTTTTTAATTACGGGAAGACTGAGTAATGTCCCTTGCTTGAGCTTTTCCCCTAAATTTACAAATACCCTTTAGAGCTGAGTAATAAGGACCTCCCTGGTGGCACAAGGGGTTAAGTCTCAGCACTATGAAGCTACCGGCACCCACTGGGGCATGAGTTCAATCCCTGGCCAGGGAGCTCACCTACATGGTGCAGCATGTAGGTGCACCTCTCCTGTTTGAACTGCTGCTCCCCTCAGCAGTGTTTCAGTCAATCTGCCTGTTCTGCTCCCCACTCTGTCTCTGGTGAATCTTCTCACCACTCCCTCCCTCCTGTACCTCAGTTCTTGTATGTATAAATAAATAAATCTTTAAAAATAAAAAGTGCTGGGGGCTCCCCTGGTGGTGCAGCGGTTGAGCACTGGGTTGCGAAGCTGCCCGCAGCCTCTGCAACACCGGTTCGATCCCCAGCTGCAGGCGAGGGTCCCACATGGCACCAGACCTCTCCTGCCACGCCCGCTGCTCCCCTCAACAGTGTATTTCGTCAGTCTGCCTGTTCTGTTGCCCGCTCTGGTGAATTCTCTCACCCTCCCGTACTTCTGACTGTACCCAGTGCTTGTTTAAATAAATAATAAATCTTCAAAAAAAAAAAAGTAAAAAAAATAAAAAGTGCTGAGCTTCCCCAGTGGCGTAGCAGGTTGAGTGAGGTTCTTTACAGCCTCTGCAGTGCAGGTTCGATTCCCAGCCGGCCAGGGAGAGACCCACATGGAGCAGACCTCTCCTTCCTCGCCCGCTGCTCCCCTAGGCAGTATCTTCGGTCCATCTGCCTATTCTGCTCCGTGCTTTGTCTCTGGTGAGCTCTCTCACCCTCCCATGCCTCTAACCTGTACCCTAGTTCTTGTATAAATAAGTAAATCTTAAAAATAATTTTTAAAAAAGAACGAAAAAAATTCTTAAAAAAAAAAAAAGAGCTGAGTGGTAAGACACAAAGTCCCTGAGTCTCTCTACCCTCCCACGGTTTCTTTGTTCAGCATGAGTATTTATTAATGTTGGCAAGCAACTCATTCTAACCGGGACTCCTTTTCAGTCTTTTTCAACCACTATCCAAAAATTCTACAGGAAAAATATTCAAGTATATGGTTTTAAAAATAGATTCTTGGGCAAACTAGGTGAAGTGCACTAGAGACCTCTCTTGTATCTAACTTCCTATGAATCTATAAAACATTTTAAAAATAGCTATCTTTATTTAAGAGTAATGAGTGCCAAAATTTTGAGGAGATAGTTACGAGAGCTTAGCAGTTACTTTGTGTAGAGAAAAAGATAATCAACTAAGAAAAATAATCTTCAGGGCCTCCCTGGTGGCACAAAGGGTTAAGCACAGCACTATGAAGTGTCCGCAGCCTCTGCAGCACAATAGATCCCTGGCTAACCAGGGAGCTACCCACATGGTGCAGCAGACCTCTCCAGTCTCTCCTGCTGCTCCCCTCAGCAGTGTATTTCAGTAGATCTGCCTGTTCTGCTCCCTACTGTCTCTGGTGAATCCTCTCACTCCCCACACCTCTGCCCTGCACCCCAGTTCTTGTATATATAAATATATCTTAAAAAAGTAAGAAAAATAATCTTCAGCAGACATAAAGGTGAAATGTAAATGTGCAGTTAAGTCAAAATACACTGCTGAGGGGAGCAGCAAGCATGGCAGGAGAGGTCTGTCGCGTTGTGTGGGGCCCTCTCCAGTGGCCAGGGATCGAACCGGCGCTGCAGAGGTTGCGGGCAGCTTCACAGCCCAGCACTTAAACCGCTGGGCCACCGGGGAGGCCCCTGAGGGTTCTAGCTTTGACTAAAGGAAAGCTTTATGCCCACTGATAAGCTTTACAAAATCTCGGCATTTGCTCAAGATTTGGAGCATTATCAATCAAATCCACACTTAAACAGATGTCAAGAATGCTTGAGTAAAGCTTGTTAACCATTACCCAAATTCCCTTTCTAAAGGACTATCTCAAAACTAAAAATGTTTACCAACAAAACTACTCGATATTTTAAAGTCAGACATATTTATAATCCTTTCCTCTTATTTCTGATCATTTTTTAAATGCTGATAAAGCATTC